ATTGGCCGCCACCTCCCCTACTTCCGCGGCCTGCCAGGTAGGGAGGCATATTTTCAATCCTATTGGACAAGAAAACCATCTATTACCACTTTGAAACGCGCCTCTTTCCGGCCCCGCCCACGCTCGCTCGCTGGCGCTCCGACTTTCGCGCGAGAGGCGCTGCCGGCGCGCTTGGCCCGCGAGGCCTCTCGGGAGTCGTGGTCTGAAGACCGACCGAGCGCCTGGTCAGCGGTGGCCGCTGGCCGTCCAGACGCCGCCGGGGTCTGTCCGCTTGTGGTCTCTGGAGCCCAGCGGGCTTCGAGCCTGCCCATTCCTAGGTCACGACCCCGCATACCAACCTCTGGACTCCTGGCCGGACGCAGCCGGTTAAAGGCACGGAGCTGGATGTTAGCCCAGGCCAGCCATTCCGCGCCCCTCTTCGGGACTCCGTTTCCTCGCCTGTGAACAAAGCCTTTGTGAGGAACGTGCCCAGGGCTCCGGGGTCTCATGACCGTCGTCTGGAAACCAGGCCTGACCCCCTTTCAGCACCCCTTCGTGCCACGCCCTGGACCGAGCGTGTTGGTCTCGTCCCTTCGAAGGCCTGGTCGTGGGACTCTTCTGGGGCCTGATGGTGGAGACCGAAGGGGAAGCACAGCCTGTCCCCTCAGCGGGAGCCCAGAGGACCCTAAACCAGGATGTCTGGGAGGTCTCCCCAAGGAAGAGATCTAGAAGCTGAGAAGGAAAGAGGAGAGAGTTCAGAGCCTGGGGAGGGGGAACTGGGAGACACCGGCTGCCCAGCGTGCTAGCAGCACAAAGATGGGAGTGGTAGGGCTTACATAGAAATTCGGATTATCCCGAGGGCAGTGGGTGTCAGGAAAGTAAGAAGCCACCCGGGGAGAGAACCAGAACTCCCAGTCTGGTTCTCGGAGTTCTCAGGTCCTCTGGAGTAACTCCGCAGGTCAAGAGAATGCAGGTCCTGGATCTTTCCTGAGTTTTGAATCGAAGCTGCTCCATTGGTTAAGCAGTCTCAATAGTTCCCTCATCTGTTATATGGGGATAATAATAGTGCCTAAAAGAGGAAGAATGTGCAGAGTTAGAGGACTCAAGGCAGCACTGCACTGAGGCATGCTAGTCCCCGGTTGGGGGCTGCAGACCAGAATTGTACTAGAGAACCGGTTGGTGGGTTTCTTGCACTCTAGTTCCTGAGCTGGACTTGAGCATGGGTTGAGCAAGCAGAAAAAAAAAGCCCCGCTTGTCGCTGTTGCTTGAGAATACCCAGACCTCAGATGGCCGTCATCTCTAGTCCTTAGGCACTTTCAGGCAGTGTGGTTACCTCTAATGCCTTGGAATGGATTGTTTCCTGGGGGTGGGGGGGAGGTGTCTTTAACCTGGAAGATTGTGTCATATATGGGAATGACAAAGCAGTTAGAAACCAGAGAATTTCTGTTTTTGTGTTGAGTTTACAAATAATCTGTTTGATATTTTATGTAGTTGTAAGAAAATTTGTTATGGTAGAGCGAAAATTTGTTACGGTAGAGTATCTGATAAGTCTCATTTCAATGTAAAATATGTATTTGATTTTGATAGTGATTTCAAGTTGAAAAGTTTGAGATTTTAAAAATTTGTGATCATTATTGGAATGAAGAGAACTTACAAGTTTAGGAGAAATGTAGGCATTTAATACATCTATGAAAATTATTTAAATACTTAATAAGGCAGACAAATGCTAAAAAATAAAATTAGATTCTACATGTATAAGTGCAGTTTAAAATGTTTAAGGGAATTTCAGTTCATAAATGAGGCTGTACGAGACTAATCAAAATGATAGCTGAGAATGACCAAATTTATAAATAAAGTAAGATTAGTAATTTGCATTTCACAGCCTAAGGAAATGTTAGGATTTTCTGTTTGTAACTTTAATATATCGAAGATGTGATGTTGAAAAAGTCACCACAAATATCGGTTTCATGCTCAAAAGTCGCCTTCAAGTCTTCTGGGACCCTCACTTGTCACTGAACTTGCTCTGTAACAAGTAGCGCTTCCCTCAGGCCCTGAATGTCCCCAACTTGGAGAAAAGACTGGCACCTTGGTGCTCCTATAGTCCCATACATGGAAACCAGCTAAATGCAGATTCCTGGCCCTCACACCAGTAGCTGAATCTCTGTGGCTGAGTTTTTTTTTGTTTGTTTGTTTTTGTTTTTTGAGACAGTCTTGCTCTGTTGCCTGGGCTAGAGTGCCATGGCATCAGCCTGTCTCACAGCAACCTCAAACTTGTGGGCTCAAGCAATCCTCCTGCCTCAGCCTCCCAAGTAGCTGGGACTACAGGCATGCGCCACCATGCCCGGCTAATTTTTTCTATATATTTTTAGTTGTCCAGCTAATTTCTTTCTATTTTTAGTAGAGACGGGGCAGGGGGTGGTCTTGAACTCCTGACCTTGAGCGATGCTCCCACCTCAGCCTCCCACAGTGTTAGGATTACAGGCGTGAGCCACCACACCTGGCCATGGCTGGGCTATTTGAATCTGCTCCTTAACAATCTCCAAAGAAAGAGCCCCTGCCCAAGTGGGTTTCAGATGCTGTCAACAAGAATCTTCTCACTAGCCTGCACTCAGGTAGAATGTCAATTCCCCAGGAGATCCAGCTAAGAAATATCCAGAAAGAGCATTCTCAGCACCCTATCGCCCTCTGGTTGGCCCTTTCTGGGAGTAGTATGATTCTTTCTCAAAGAGCCAATGCAGAGAGAGGGAGACTGGGGTCCCTAGTATGAAGGCCCTTGGCTCCTGAGGGATTTCAGTTAGCTGTTGCTTTGGAACAAATCACCCTAAAGCTCAATAATTTGAACAGCCATTAATGTTGCTCATGAATCTACAAGTCAGCGGGGAATGGAGAAGGTTCTGCTCCTGGCTGTCCTCACATTTTGGGGTCTGCTGGTTGTAAGGTGGTCTAGGATGGCCTCTGGGACAACTGGCTCTCCTGCACATGGTGTCTCATCCCAGCAGGCCACCCTGGTTATGCTCACACAGGGTCTGGGCAGGGTTCCTAGAGAATAAGTAGGAACTCTACGGTCACTTGGGACCCAGCCTCACAACCAGCACATGGCCACTTCTGCTGCACCCTGTTGGTCAAAGAAAGTCACTAAGCCAGACCAGATTCAAGGGCCTCTTGAATCAAAAGTCATAAGGGGTGGGGATACAGGGAGACATTTGGCCATGAATCTACTGCACAATGCCTACCCTCAGGCCATAACTTTAGGGAATGGTCTTATACCTGCTCCCACTCAGGTTTGTATGGAGGAGAGGCCCCAGGTGCTCTCAAGCTAGTTCTGAGCAGCTGCTCAGTCCAGGAGGGTGGGACAGAGGAGGGAACTTTGTTGACTGCCAACAAGCATTGTTGCCAACAGCACCATCAGTTTGTTGGCTACCACATCTCCCCTCTGCTCCAGAGGCCAGCCTAATAGGTGAAGGGTAATTCCCTCTCTTACCCCAGTAATTGCTTCAAGCAAGTATGCAGATGTTCTCCCACTATAGGAACTGGCTCAGCACAAATATGTTCAATTCAGGCCAGTGAGACTGGGCAGATGTTCTATGTTTCTGAGGCTGGAACTGCTACCAGCCTGGAGATAGAGCTCCTGGATCAGGCACATCCTGAAGTCCACCTGACTTTTGGAGTGCCAGTTATGGGAATTAATAAATCTCCTTTTGAAACCCCCAGAGCTCCTGATGGACTCTCTAGACCAGTCATCATCAACATATTCCCTTGATATCAAATGAAATGGGTTTGAATTACACAACACAGGATGTGATGTTTTTCTTTAAATGAAATTTAATCTGCCCCCAGCTCTAATTCGACAGAGAGTTGGGAATCCCTCTCTTTATCAACCTGGATTGTAAGAAAATCCTGGAGTTTTGATACAATGCAGAGTATTGGGGTAGGACTCTGGCCCTTTAATCTGTTCTTGTCAATGCTGAGAAATGCCCACCTTCCTGGTCTGAATGTACCCTGGGGCCTAGCCTCCCTATCTGAAGTGCCACCTCTTCTGCAGGCCCAAGGAGAATATGAGCGGGGGCAATCTCTCTCCTGGACATCTGTCCATCTTGCAGTTTCCAGCCTCTCCATTACTGCTCCCTACTCCATGGACTCTCCCGTTTTCTCTACTTCCTGGGAGCTGCAGCATAATGTGCTTTTGTCTTGAGGCTGTGTTTCACAAGCAGGCACTCACTCTGGAAGCCTGTCCTCAAGGTGGAGCTTTCTCCAGCTCAGTACAAAACAAATCTATCCTGGTGTCCGCGCTGAGTGAGCTCCAGCCCCACGTGGCCCCAACCTTGTTGGGTCCAGGCTCCTTCAGTGATGCTGGAGAAAGGGAACGGGGGAGGGTACTCTAAAGTAACCTAGGCTTAGCTCTGGGTTTTGGCTCTCTGGGCAAGTCACTTCACCTGTTGGGGCGCCAGTGGCCTCTTCAGCAGAAGGGGGCGGGCTAGTCCTATGTTCCCGGAGATCGTGAAAAGGATCCCCGAGGCGCGTGAAGAGCCAGTCCAGAGATAGTGCTCAAGAATGTTGGCTACGTCCCCAGCCAAACGCACAGGCACAATCGCATACCCAATCCTGGGCGTTCCCTAAGTGAAGCCCCCGGGCTCCGGGCTGAGGGTGGGGATTGCAGGTTTCCACGTGCGGAGGGTGGGGTTCCGGGAGCTCCGGAGGGGGCGGGGTCGCCAGGAATGTCTTGCGGTGGCCCTAGGAAAGGGCTGGGATCTGGGCTACGGTGCCAGATTTGGCACATAAAGATGCATATGCCCAATTATATTTGAATTCCAGACAAGGAGCGGATACCTCTTTAGCGTAAGTTTGTCCCACGCAATAACTGGGCGTCATGCCTTTTATCCGGCAACCCTGCTCTGGGGAGGTGGGGACAGCGGAGAGGTGAGGCGTGCAACAGGGGTGCGGGGCAGGGGCCTGAGGCCGAGGGCGCGCGGCTGAGGAAGAGGAGGCGCCCCCGGCGGACCGCGCGCTTTCTTCGGCCCGGCTCAGGCCGCCTCCAGGCGGCGCTCGGGCCCGCGGGAGGAGCCTCCCTGCTGCCGCGCCCACATCCTGCGCTCTCGGCTCTGCTCCAGCTCCAGCCAGTGCCGCGCCTCCAGCTGCGCCTGCGGGCGGGAGCGGCGTCTGAACGGATGGGGACACCGTGCCCCGCCCTTCGCCGCGCCCGGGCGCCTATCCCCGGCTCCCATCTCTGCACACCCAGGCCTCCCTGCAGCCGCCCCCAGCTCCCCGACCCCGGCCGCCGCCGGCCGCCGTCTCACCCGGGGCTTGGGGCGCGCGGGCCGCGGCGCCGACGAGTGCAGCAGGGCCGCCTGCCTGCGGCGCTCGGCAGCCCTCTCTGCGATCCTGCGCCGCAGCTCCAGCACGCGCTCGTCCTGGGTGGGCGCGCCGGGGGCCTTCGCGAGTGCATTCTTTTTCTCCCACCTGGCGGGTGACAGGGCGGGCGCTTAGGAGCCGGCCAGTGGGCGGCCAAGGCGGACACGGACCCAGGAGACGCTGGGCTGCCGGGCTGTGCAGCTGGAGAGGTTCACTAGAATGATTTAGGTGCAGGGAGCGGATGCCAGGGGTGGGGAGTCGTGGCGGGGGGCGCCCAAGCCGGGGCGGGGGGGGGGGGCTCCCTGTCAGGATCACTGTGCAGGGGGTTGGGTGGGGGTGCTGCTAGCGCCTCTACCCTTTTGCTCTTTTTACTTAACTTTTTTTTTTTTTTTTTGAGACAGAGTCTCACTCTGTTGCCCTGGCTAGAGTGAGTGCCGTGGCGTCAGCCTAGCTCACAGCAACCTCAAACTCCTGGGCTCAAGTGATCCTACTGCCCCAGCCTCCCGAGTAGCTGGGACTACAGGCATGCGCCACCATGCCCAGCTAATTTTTTCTATACATTTTTAGTTGTCCGATTAATTTCTTTCTAATTTTTAGTAGAGGTGGGGTCTCGCTCTTGCTCAGGCTGGTCTCGAACTCCTGAGCTCAAACAATCCGCCCGCCTCGGCCTCCCAGAGAGCTAGGATTACAGGCGTGAGCCACCGCGCCCGGCCTACTTAACATTTTTTAAAGAAAGTATTACACGTATACTAACTATATTTATAATTGGGGTAAAAATGTGCCTTTTATCTCACACTCCCCTTGCCTCTTGCCTAGAGGAAACCACTACTAATACTGTGATGTCTTTGCAAATATTTCCATACATAGGCCATTATTCCTTCAGATTATATAATACATATTGTTCCTGCTGGCCTTGATGTAAGTGCACTTCATAGCATTGGGGCCTTTGCATGTGCTGTTCCCTGTTGTTCCCTGTCTCCATGGCTCTTGGCTGACTGTCCAGGTCACCTACCCACTAAAACTCTCCTGGTGATTTAGTGCCATTGAGTCTGGCTGCATGCATGAGGGGGCTCCAGGATCTTTGTTAGCTGGAGTTGGGCCCTTGGAGGCACCCTAAGACCAACTGGACTGCATCTGGGATCTGCCAGGCCAAGGTCAGCAGCTGGAAAGTGATGAGGTTTTCTGTGGATCAGGCTAGGGCTCAAACTGCAGTCCGATGGGGCTGAGGAGGGGAAGGGGACATGCCTACCCATCCCGTGCCCGACCAGGCTGCCACAGGACAGCCATATGGAGCTGGATAAAGTCACCACAGTGTCCCCAAAACAAATAAAAAGGTACATGTGAGAGTGTGCATTATGTGTGACCCTAACTAGATCCTGGTTTAAGAAGAAAATAAAATTTACAGCAAACAGTCTCTAAAAAGTTTTGACAGTCTTTGGATGCCCCGAGAAATGTGAATATGGACAGGATATTTAGATGATGGTAATTTTTGTTAAATTTTCTAGTTGTGTCATGGTGCTTTATGTAGGACAATTGTTTTTTTTAGAAGATGCATGCTAAAGTGTTTTGGAGTGAAGAGTCTGATGCTTGCAACTACTTCCAAATGATTCTGCTGTCAGATAAATAGCTAGCTAGCTAGAGGAAGCATATAAGGCAAAAAGTCCTACCCATGACCTACATGCAAAATGACTGCTTCTAAGTCACAGCCAGCTAAGCCATGGGGACATGATTTTTTAACCATTTCTATATGCCCAAAAATCATCTAATAAAATAATAGGGGTGGGGGAGTTATTGCAAGGGAACTGCTTGGGCAGGAGGGTGGTGTGGTGTGGCAAGGAGACCCACCAGGAGGGTGCAAAGGCATGCTTCTTGCCCACCTGGAGGCTTCCTCCCTGGGCCTGTGGTACTGGTACCAACCTCAAGGCCGCGGATCTCCCCATGGCTGCGCGGCACAGTGAAATCTGCTCCACCGTGTTCTGCAGCTCCTGGCTCTTGGTGCGCTTGCCCTGAATGATTTGATCCCGCTTTTCCTCTTCCTCCCGCTGCTGGGTCTCTTTGAGCAGGGCCAGCCGCTCTCGCATCTCAACAACAGACATCTCCCCTTCCAGGCCATACCCAGGGATCTGTCGGGTAGCAGGAGAGGCCCCACACTGGGAGCTGTGCCAGGCTCAGGCGGGGGGCACACATGCCCCTCCCCTGCTCCACAGGCCTACCCTTTGCCAGGAGGCTTCCCTCTGTGTCAATACTGCCTGTACGGCGTGCCCCTCTTCAGCTTCTCCAGCCTGGGCCCCGCACTGCAGTGCTATACCTGGAGTGTGCCCTGCAGGCCCCTCCGCTGTGGCAGGTCCCAGATGGAGCTCACCACCATCTCACCAGCCAGGACCGCTGGGGCTTGGGGCTGAAAACTCATCCGACTCCCCACACCCCTTAGGGTCAGGCCAGCCCCTGCAGCGGGCTCCCGAGGCCCTCCCAGGCCTGGCCCTCCCTGTGCCTTCTCACACAGGCTTCCAGGAGGCCTCCGCCTCCTGCTCCGTCCAGCCGTAGGCCCTTGAACACCTGTGCTCTCCCCACTCAGCCCTTCCCACCTCGGGCCTGGGAAGTCCCTGGGCCTCCCCCAACATGCAGCTCCCAAGTGGCCTCCTGGATCCTACCCTGCCACCCCCAGGGCCCAGGCCCCTCCCCCAGGGATCGCAGAGGACCCACTCAGTGTCTGCCTCACTGGTGGGACTGTGAACTCATGGGGGCACACCGAGGTCTGCAACATGGGGAGTGCCGAGTCCATGGCTGGTGATCAGCGGCCAGGTGGATTTTGGTGGGGCAAGACCTGCCTTTGGCCTCAGTGGGAATTCTGGATATGCCCTGCCATGAGTCCTCACCTGGGTCAGGTCCACGAGCTTGCCTTTGCGTGTAGGCCGTGTCTCCAGTGCACGCAGCTGGGAGATGAGTTCACAGCGCTGCCTCTGCTCCTCCCTGGCAGCCTCTGCGCTGCGCTGCAGCAGCTCCTGGCTCTCCTCCATCACCTCCTGGGCTTGGGGGCCCAGTGCATGCTGAGGGGGCCAGTGAGCGGCCTGGCAGGTGCTGGGCAGGGACACACCTCCCCGGGAGCTGCTCAGTCAGGCCTTTGACCTCAGCGTGGCCACCTGGGAGAGCTTGCCCAACCCTGGCCCTCCCTCAAGGGCACCCAGACCTCACTGACCACAGCAGCTCCCTCAGGGCAGGCTGCCAGCTCAGCGCCTGAGCAGGAAGAGCGGAGCTAGGCAGGGCTTCGTGGTGCCTGGCTCCCCACCATACCTATCTGTCTTCGGCCCTTCACAAGCTTTGCCTGGGCCAACTTGATGTTCTTCTGCAACTCCATTGCCTGCTCCACCTGCTCCTTCAAGGACCTGTCCTCCTGGAGGCGCCTCTTGGCACACTGCAACATCAGCTTGGCTGTCTGCGGGGACAGTGGACCCGCCACAGTGAGAGCTCGGGCCTCCTGTCCCCCAACCCCGCCCCAGCCCAGGGAGCAGCATGAGGTCTGAGGGTGGACCCAGGCCCTAGCCCTGAAACACCTGGAACCCAGGGCCAACCCCATTAGTCAAGGTTGGGCTTGCTGGCGGATTTCCAGCTTACATCCTTCCTCCTTCCTCCCAAAGTGCCCCTGGTGTGGGGGGCGGGGGCCCAAATCTCTGTCATTTTAAGCCACCAGTTTGTGGCACTTTGTTACGGCAGCCTAGGAACCTCATGCACGTGGTAATGTAAGATGTTCACAACAGAGGGGACTGGGTGGGGAGGATATGGGAACTCTGTATTATCTTTGCAGCTTTTCTTTTTCTTTTTTTTTTTAATTTCCCTATCAATATGTTTGTTTTTCCCATAACAAGTTTTAAGCTTCCTGAGAGCAGAGACCTTGTTTGTCATGTTCATTGCTCTATCCTCAAAGCTGGAGCAATGCCCAAAACATGTAGTATATAGGCTCAGTAAATATTTATCGAATACAATGAATGCATTGATTATGATGATGATGGTGATTACGAAACCTCGGACTACCTGGTCACAAATTCTAGCAATTTTCCCAAGCACAAGAATTGCAGTTCTGAGGTTAGATGCTTGAAGACTGGAAACCTGATAACGAAAGGTCTGGGACTGAAGGCTGGGGGAAGCAGAGGGAATATATTGAAATCTACCTTTTTTGTCCTATCCAAGGATCCCAGAAACCTTGCAAAAGGGAGGCCTAGAATCTTTTGACCAGAAACTCCAGCCTAAACACAACCGGCATTTTCCATTCACCATTCTTCGCAGCCACTTCCGCTAGGCTGCAAATGCGCAAACACCTCCACTTTGCAGCTTTTCTGTGAACTTTAAAACTGTCCTAAAATAAAAGTTTATTTAAAAAATTACTTTTGAAACTGTGTAATAAGTAGGAGAAATCCTTGTGTGGAAATATGAGGTGAAAAAAAGTGGGCTACCAGAATATACCAGGAGCCCCATCTCAAGTAAGGAAACAACAAGCAAAGAAAAAAAGATGCCTGGGCCAGGAGGCACGATCCTGCACCACTGGCCCTGTGCCCCATGCTGTTGGGGACAGGATCACAAAGGGCCCAGGCATGGAGGCGGCTGGGAGTAAGGAGAAGAGACCAGGCAGCATCTCTCAGCTCCTGGGAAGTACATGTGGAACCAGGAAGGCAGCACAGGCCCACGCAGAAGGCACCAGCTTGGCGTAAGATATACAGGATTCTAAGTTCTTCCCCTGTCCACCTGACCAGTTCTGCCTCTGTAAACCCAGACAAGTCAGGGCCCTGCCTCCCTGGGTTTCAGTTTCTTTACTGGGAAAATGAAGCCAGCCACGCCCACTCAGCTACACTGAGCACAGGGCCCAGCACAGGAATCAGAGTCAGCAGAGAGAGTGGGGGACAGGCTGGAGAAGAAGAAGGAAAAGGGATACCCAGGCCGGGAGCAGGGGACGGCCACAGGTGCTGGGGAAGCGATGAGCGTGTGGTCATCCGGTCAGGCTGCAGTGAGGTTAGGGCCACCAGAGTGGTAAGTGGTGGAGCAGCTGGCTGGTCAGAGTCCAGGGTCCGATGCCTGGCTCCGTCTACCCTGGCATAACCTTGAGCCCGCCATGCCGCCTGAGTCACTCAGGGGCCAGAGGCAGCCTAATGCATCCGTGGGTCCTGTGGTGGACGTCCACCCAGGTTCCCACCTCTCCTCATTCTGCCACCGCAGAGCACCACATGCACGAGGGCTGCTCGCCATGCTTACATTAGGCCAGAGCTGTTAGTCACCCGCAGGGAGACACCTTCAAAACGGAAATAAACACGGAACACACTGAACAGCGTTTATGTGCCCAGAGCCAACTGGGAAAATGCTGCAAGTGCTGCCCAGCTAAATCTGACTGAATACTTGGTAAAATGTACTCAAAGAATGGTCCCCTAGGACAACCAGATGTGACATGCTGTTACTCACCGAGGGGATTTAGTGAGACCTACTCTCGCATGGCTGGTCGACTGAGCTGTGGAGACCCCTCAGCCATTCTAGATTAATTTCATGGTGGTGATGGATTAAAAACAAGTAATTATATGATCTTTATTTGTTTTAGTCAACATATCTAGTTATTTGTGTGGTTCATCAAGTTATATTAAAAGGGGGATAAAATTATTTAAATGAAGAGAATATATTCAAGTTGTTTAAGACAATGTTAGAGTTAACTTAAATATATCAATGTTACACTCATGATTCTAAAATATATCCTTTCTCAGCCCTGTTGCTTAATATTGGTCGCTGTGGGGGAAAAAACAAAAGCGCTAGTCACGGAAATCAGTATTTGTTTTCATGAGGCACAGAGGCTCCTTGGAGGATAACTGAGTCTGTGTCTTACACAGAGAAAATTTAACATCTCAAACATCTCTCCCCTCAAAAGAAAAGGTGCTCCCAAAGGCTCTAGAACAGTGCAGCAAGGTCAGAGGAGGAGAGGAAAGGCCAGGTTGTTGCAATAGAACCTCAAGCGGAAACAAAAGCTGTAGCTGATTAAAACACATCAAGGGCCAGGGGCGGTGGCTCACGCCTGTAATCCTAGCACTCTGGGAGGCCGAGGCGGGCGGATTGTTTGAGCTCAGGAGTTCGAAACCAGCCCAAGCAAGAGCGAGACCCCGTCTCTACTAAAAATAGAAAGAAATTAACTGGACAACTAAAAATATATAGAAAAAAAAATTAGCCGGGCATGGTGGCACATTCCTGTAGTCCCAGCTACTCGGGAAGCTGAGGCAGGAGGATCGCTTGAGCCCAGGAGTTTGAGGTTGCTGTGAGCGAGGCTGACGCCACGGCACTCTAGCCTGGGCAACACAGTGAGACTCTGTCTCAAAAAAAAAAAAAAAAAAAGGATACAAAATTTCAGTTAGAAAGGAGGGATAAGTTCATGACATCTACTGTACAACATGGCGACTACAGTTAATAACAATGTATTGTATGCTTGAATATTGCTAAGAGTAGATTTTAAGTGTTGTCACCAGAAATAAATATGTGAGAAAATGCATATGGTAATTAGCTTGATTTAGCCATTCCACGATGTATTCATTTCAAAACATCATGTTGTATACCATAAATATATACAATTACATTTGTCAATTTAAATAAATAAAATCAAGGAAATAAAGGTCAGAAGCTCAATAGAAAATGGACAAGACATGCGCAGTTCGTACGAAAAGTACAGAAATGGCTTAAATATATGAATATTTGCTCAAATTCACACATAATAAATGAAATGCAAATCAAAACTATACCAATATACTATTTCTCACCCATGAGATTGGCAACAATTCACAAGTTCAGTCCGGTACACCCTGCAGTGAGGCGCGGGCACAGCCCCTCTCCTGCCGCCAGGGGAGTGAAGCGGGCATAAGCTCCGTGAAGAGGCTGTGTTTGGCTGTGTTTCACAGAACCACATATTCCAAAAAACAACAGCAGCAGTAAAAACTCCCGCCTATCCAGTTACTCTTTGACTGTACAATCCCTCCCCTAGAAGTTTACCCTGACAGTCCACTTCCACAAAGATGAAAGACTTCTGTGACATTATTCTTTGCAGAGAAAGCAAGGTGTGACCTTTCATGAAAGGAAAAGGGGAAGTAAAAACGGGTGCGTAGACAAGTGTATTATTTGCTTAGAAAGAAAGACAGGAAAGGAAATCCAGAAATAAATGAAAACAAGGACCTACGAGTGCAGGTAGAAATGGTTTGTAAGGTACAGACTTACAAGAAGTGAGACTTCTCCGAGTCTACTTTTTCATATTGTTTGGAGTTTATATTTTTTAAAAAGTGAACTAAAAAGGAAAGAAAAGGCAAACCCTAAGATTGAATACAAACAGACAGATGAGTCTGTCAAGCAGGCCCCCCCATCCCTCGGGGGATGCACTTGGGACAGGCAGAGCTACAGGTCTGGCCTGCTGGGGCCAGCAGGCTGCCCCCTCTCCCAGGCCACTGGGACACCCACAGGGAGGAACAGTCTTTCTGGGGGAACAGAGGTTGAGAGCCCCCACCTAGGTGGACTGTCCTAGGAGGAGGAAGAGCCAGGAATGATACATCAGGAGCTTCTAAAGTGATAACATGGACGTCCACGAACCCTCCTGTGGGGAGGACATCATATATGAACATGTCATATGTAAACATGTTCACCTTCTGGAATTTTCTGCCAGAATCTCAGGGCTTCCCTCAGGGGCACCCAGGGATCTGTGCATCAACTGACGCTGCAGGTGGGGACGGGTGGCAATCTGGAGCAGAACTACTGGCCAAATGGTCCACTTAGCTCAGCTGACCTGAAACTGTTCCACACCCCTGCCTGCTATAGTGGGGATAGAGAAACCACGGCCATCCTATGGGTCTTAGGAGGAAACGGCCTAGGGTTAGCCGAAAGCCAATGGCCACAGGTGCTGTCAGGTCATGGCCAGCTGCTGCACACATGCTCGGCTTCTCTGGCAGCTCCCAGAGGCTATGCAGCTTGGCTGGCTGTCCCCATGCCCCAGCTGCTCCATGCGGTACATCACCTCCTCCTTCTTTTGTTCCGCCCTGTGCTTGTTCTTCTGCACGAGGTTCTGCCGGGCCAGGATGGCCTCCTCGTGGCTGAGCTTTCCCTGCAGCCGCCGGCACTCGCCTGCGGCCAGCCGCTCCTCCAGGTCCTTTGCCTGCATCCTCCTCTGCCACTCGAGGAACTCGGAGAAGTCCCCAGCCCCATCCACAAGCTTGTCAACCCTGGGGACAGAGGGATCGAGGCACAGCTCAGGGTTCCTTCTGTGGCTGGGGCCACCAGGAGGCCACACAGGCACAGGCTGCTACTCACCCAACATGTGGCCACATCACCTGCTCTGTTCCCTGCCCACTTGCCTGCCATCCGCTTGTCCCCCTCCTGGGCAGCCACCTGTCAGCCACACCATCCCCCCCCCCGCCTTCATCCTCTTGTTTATCTACCCTTGCTCTGTCTACCGTCTGTCCATCCACTCATCCATCAAGCCATCTGTCAGCCACCCAAGCTGCTGCCCACAGCCCAACTTGCAGACATGGAAAGACACAACTACATGGCATGGAATATGCCTGGGGTTTGCAGCCAGCACTGGTGGTCTACAAGAGAGGGGACCCTGAAGGGGTTCAAGGAAGAGGGGACCCCAAGGGAGGTTTGGGACAGGCCAGGCATTTGCTAAGTCACTGAGCCAGCATTATCTTTGTAAGATGCAATGATGACCCTGACAGTCTTGCTTGCCACCCCTACCCCCTGCAGGACCATAGCCTGGTCATGACCCCTGAGTCCCCTCTCCGCAGAGCGTCCCAGCCCCAGGCTTCTCTTCTAGGCCTTCATTCCTAAGGGCAATGCTTCGGAAGGTGGGGGAGACCCACTGCTACCCCTCACCTCTGCAGCTCTTTCTCTACTTGCCGCTGGTACAAGGCCCCTTCTCTCAGGATGGCTGCGGTGTTCAGCTTGACTGGGATGTTGTCAGGCTGTGGGAGGGGGAGGGGCTGGCTGGGGGAGTGAAGGCAGCCTTGGGAGCAGCAAGTGCCCCTCCTGCCCTCCTGCCCTTCATAGCTGCCCCTGCCCAGGGCCTTCCCTCTGCCTCAAGGGTGGGACCATGCTCGAGGCTCTGAGTCCCCAGCTCTGGCCATCTGAGCCTCCAGGAGCAGAACAGGTCAGGAGGGGTAGGTGCCCGGGGAAAGGGGCCTGACCAGCCAGGAGCACCCCTCACCCTGAAGAAGGTCAGCTTCGGAGTCTTTCGGATTCGGGGCGGGAATTGAAGCTGCAGTTGCTTCGTGGAGTCCTGCAAGCGTCAGGGTGGAGCTGGCAGCCTGGCACCTGTGCCTTCCAGGTGCCACCAAGCACACCGAGTAAGTGATTACCCAGCACTGCTGGGAGGCCCGGTCCACTGCCCTTCATCCAGCTGCCCATCCCTCCCCAGACCCTCAGGGCAGCATCTCTTCTCCAATGCCCTCCCAGGCCTTGCTGGGGTATTGGGCACCCCCTGCAGGAGCAGGGAAGGCGCAGGGCCTGCTGGGCCTGGCGACAGTGGTTCCCAGTCAGGACAACTCAACCTTGGGGCTCAGTGTCTATTTCCTCAGCTACCCCCCAGAGCTGGGGTCTGGCTGCCCTGTGACCTCTGTGGGCTGCTCCCAGAGTCTGTCTGCACCCAGCCAGCCTCCCGCTGCTTTGCTGACACACCCCAGGGTGGGTGCCACAAGCCACACTACGGGGGAGGAGCTGGCAAAAGGCCCCCTGTGAGCACTCGGCCATCACAAGCCCCCATGGCATGCTGCTGTGCGGGGCGTCCACTCCCTGGCCAGCCCCAGATGCTGGGTGCCACCTCTGTCGCCCCTGGCTGCTGCCCCGGGGCCCGTGCTCCTGAGTGAGCATCCAGAGTACAATCATTCCTTGTCCTCTTTCTTTTACTTTTTCCTGTTGGCGAACATATCTTGGCTTGTTTTTTTCCAGAAGTAAGTGCTCAGTATGGCACATCTGGGAACACCCAGAGGTGTGGGGGACAGCTACAGACGTACATCTACACTTGCCCACTCAGGAGCCCGCATAGCAGTGGACTTCGTCAGTGTGGCTCGAGGGTCACTTTCCCAGCGTTACTGGGAGTCTGCCCTCCACAGCACCCTTGGGAAAAGGCTAAGTGGAACTTTTTGATGACATGAGAAAATGCCACCCTGCTGACTGGTCTGGGGACTTGGAGAGCCGGTGGTACCTGTGTTGGTGGCTCCCAATGTGACCTGGGCATGGCACACCGCAGCTCCTCTATGTTCGCCTTCAACAGCAGCTCCTGCCGTGATAACACAGTGCTCCAACCCCACCCGCCGCCACCCAGTGTCCTCAGGGCCACGGGAAGACAAATGCGCCAACCAACATCCCCCATCCCTCCTCCCCCGCCCCTCCTTCTGCATCTCCCCCTCCCCACCTTCCCTTCACAGGCCCCCGTGGGGGGTCTCTGGGAAGGCAGGGGTCACACGCACAGCCTACCTCGGCCTTCCGGCGATTGTATCTCTTGACCATGTCCAGCTGCTGCTGCTCCTTGGGCAGCTGGTAGGTGCTCCGAGGGACCTGGTGGCGTGGTGGGAGGAAGAGCCTATGGTCAGCAATGCCAGGGCTGGGGCCAGAGGGAGACAGGTGAAGGGGAGGGTGGTGCCAGTCAGCAGGGGAGATGGCAGCTTGCACCAGGGGAGAAGCAGACCTGGAGAGGAAGCCACTGAGCGCTGACCAGGACCTGCTGGGCATTAGTGGTCGTTGAGGGGAGGCAGGGGAAGAGGTCAGGCCATTATTGGGTCTGGGGTCTGGGGCTCGGCTTGGGATGGGGTGGGCAGAGAGAGATGTGAGGCAGGGCACTGAGGGCCACCAGCTTGGATGAGCTGACTGCTTGCAGGAGGAGCAAGAAGGGAAGGCAGTCAGCTCTCAAGACACTGGAGGGACAGGAGAAGATGTCTGACAGAGAGTGTCCTGGACCCCAGCAAAGTGAGCTGCCCATGAGGGGACGCTACAAAGACTGGGGCGGCCCAAGCTTTATCCCTGGGTCCAGGCACAAGAGGCTGTGAATACCGTGGCAGGCGCAGTGCCCATGGAGGGGCAGGAAGGAGCCAGGTGGACACTCTGAACTTCACACTCCTGTGTCCATCCTCCTAACTTCATACCTTTTCCCTCCAGCGTCCAACAGGCAACTTGTTGAGCCCGCCCCTCCCCTAGCCTGGCCACCCCTGCCCACTGTCAGTGCTCACCCATGCCTGGACCACAGAGTCCTCCTCAGCACCTCTGCCTCCCACCATATCCATCTCCACTCCAGCCACGTGCTTCACAACATCACAAACTGCCCCCCGACTCCCACCACGGCCACAGCAGCTGGAGGGACCACGTGGGCCCCAGCCTGCCTCAGCATGCATCCTGCCTCCCTTACCCCTCCAGGTACCTCCCCTCCCCTTCCCTCCTCACAGCTGCCCTCAAACAGCTGGAGAGGGAGGGCACTACCCCAAGGCCTTTGTATGTGCCTTGCTTGCCGCCTGAGACAACCCAGGGCTCACTTGCTCACTTCTTCCACATCTTTACTCTGTGGCACCTCTCAGGAAGCTTTCTCTGGCCGCACTATCCAGAATCACAACCACCCCAACACTTCCTATCCCCCTTTTCTGCATTATTTTTTGGGCTCAGCATTTATCACCAACTAACAGCAAATATTTTACTCATCCTGTTTTTTGTCTGAGTCCCCCACTGGAATTCATGTTCCCCAAAGGTATAGTGCCTGGCACATACTAGGCGTTCCATAACTATTTGTTGAGTGAATGAATGAGTGAATTGGAGTGGGCCCACAACCCAGGAGGGCAAGGGGAATCCTGGGCGTGGGGAAGGGTGGGAGGGAAGAGAGGACAAGCCTGCTGTTCCAGCACAGCCACCTCGTGGACTGCAGGGAAGGTAGATGTCCACTGACACCTCACAGCTTGTGCTGAGAGATGTGCAGCTATAGAGCAATGCTGGGCATGATACGTGCCCTGGCAGGGGCTATGTCAAGTGTGTGGCGGGGTGGCGGGGGCACGGGGAGAGAGGAGAGAGGAGAAAGATAGAGAGCGAGAGAGAGATGCATCTATGCAGCTGGCAGGATGACCTGAGGAGGTCATCAAACACACTGAGCCCTGAGGAGATGGGGTCAGAAATGCTGAAGATCCTGCAGATGGGCAACTGTAGGGTTGTTCAGCAATAAGGCCCCTGATCATCCATCCGTCCATAGACCCATCCACCCACCCACCCACGCATCCATCCATCTACCCACCCATCCACTCATCCATCCACCCCCACACCCATCCATCCACCCATCCATCCATCCATCCACCCACCCACCCATCCACTCATCCATCCATCCACCCACCCATCCACTCATCCATCCATCCATCCATCCAACAAGTATTCACTGAGGGTCTGCTCTGAGCCAGGATTATGCCAGGCATCCAGAATATGGGACCAATAAGATGCATGAGGTCTGGAGGCAGACAGTAAGCAGGCCCACCAGTCACCAAGCACTGTGCACTCCAGTCAGTGCTATGAAGGGAAGGAGCTCGGTCAATGAGGAGGACACTAAGTGAGGGATTTGACACAGGGGAGGGGCATGCAAACCTCTCTGGGAAGAGGGATTTTAATGAGGCCTGAAGGATGGTGGGAGTCAGGCGGGACCCTGGGACCCCCTAGCACCATCCCCCTGCCCTCTTGTACAGTCCTCGGTCCTGCTGGGGACCCAGATTGGTTCTGGGAAGGTGATTCCACCACCAGCGCTTGGGGTACAGCCCATGACCAGTCAGGACATTGTATTCCCAATTGTGGTGATCAGTGCGAGGCAGGCATGAGACCTAAGCTAGTCCAGTCAGAATTTTCCAAAGAATTCCTGGCCCCAGGTGTCCTCTCAAGGTCCTGGATGGTGTAGAGTGTGGGGGTGAGGCTGGGGTTTTGCTACAATAAAAAAGGTTAGCCCAAAGATGAAGGTGACCCACTGAGGAGAGCAGGGCAGAGAGAGTCACAGGGCAGCCGAGTGGGAGCCTGATCAGCTGTGCTGCAGCCTGTCCTACTGCAGCCAGCGCTCCACTGTCTGGGCCAGTTTGAACTGCGTTTTTCTGTTACTTGCAATACAAAGCATCCCACACGACATGTCAGCGAGGTCAAGGGAGGGAGAGGAAGAGGCTCTAGGCAGACGTGACAGATGAGCAGAGGCTCCGAGGTGGGGACAGGCACGACTGGGGCACAGACATCATCCCCTGCCCATGGCCGAAGAGCACGCTGTGTTCTATACGTGTGCTATTCAACAGGGAGGGGGTGGCACATTGCACAGGGCCTGACAGCCTCACTTGCTGCCTACCGAGGGGGCCACAGTGCGTGGAGTGCAGGAACCTGCTCGGTGTGCTCCAGGGGCAGCTGGGCTTCCTTCTCTGTAGGGGTGGGGGTGGGGCACTGTCATCAAATGCTCCCGGTCTGGTCCAGCCCACCCTTGGCCTTGGGAGGGGCCCCCCACTGACCCACAGTCCATTCTCTCAGCCTGGACATGTTGACAGGGGCAAGCCTGTGCCCATCATGAATGCCTGCACTCACTGATCTTGGCTTGGCCACCACGGGGACTGGCTCCGGCATGGGAATGGCACGGGGCTTGGGGTCAGTCAAGTTGAATTTCTTGGGCTCTGTGACCTTGGCCTTGGTCTTCGAAAGAAGGGACTGGCTGGCTGACACGCCCTCCAGCTGGCTGATCAGCTCTTGGACCTTTGGCTGCCATCTTGAAGGCAAAATGGAGAAGGCCCTTAGGGACACTTCCTGACAGGTCATAAAGGTCAACCTTAGGGTGGGGGTAATAATGGGTCTGACAGCCCCTCTTCATGGAGTGTCTACTACTTGCAGGCACGATGCCAACACACTCTTGAAACACACATGTCGGCATTCTCCTCATACAGATGAGGAAATGAGGCCCAAAGGCATTGTTGTCCTGGGCCACACTGGTGAGTGGGGAGCTGGGAGGATAGGGACAGCTCCATCACAGGAATCCCGGGGCTCTGAGGAGGAGCAGAAGTTGGGACAGGGAGCTAATTTGGGAGCAGATGGGACAGGGGAAGGAAGCCAAGAGCAGGAAAGGGAGCTGTGATCAGGAAGGAACATTTTGGAGTGGCACTGCTGGTGATGAGGGAGCGGGGCTGTGGAGCCACAGGGCAAAGCCCGGCTCCCGCCTGGGTACAGCCTCAGGTGGGTGTGCTCTGGAGCAGGGGCTTGAGACAGGCCTTGCCGGGCTGCTCCAAGGTCTGGGGCTCCCCCTTCCCTGCCCCACGCCCTGTGTGGGCACAGCCCACCATCACCAGCCTGTCCAGCGGTCCCTGTACAGTTTGAAATAGCTCCTGCCTCACCTTGAGAGCCATGGCCAAGGGCCAACGGCAAGCGGGGACTTGGGAGGCACTCTGGGGCAGGCCCCAGTGCCCCCGACTTCGGGGCAGGCAGGGGAAAGGGGCAGCAGGTTTGTGATGAGGCTGGTCCCAGAATGGGCAGCAGAAGCCTCAATATAGAGGAGTGTGCACTGGAATCAGGCTGAGGAGCTGCCCGGAGGCCACCTTGCAGGCCCAGGCCATGGTGGGCACCCTGTGGGTGGGCAGAGAGTCCAGCCTGGGTGGCAGGTGGGGGTACCTGCAGGGCCATCCCCCCTCATTCCTTTGGAGGTTCATCTTGATTACCAGCTAGGACAGAGGACTTCCCCTCAGTGAAGGGGCATCTCCAAGATCCCCCAATGCCCAGGGCCAGGTCTTCCTCTGCCCACGGGAGGGGCTTCCATCTTCCCTGGGTCTCTAGGTCTCCTGCGCACAGCTGGCATCTAACTGATCTACTTGTGCCAAACTGTCCCTAGGAAGACAAAGTGACTTCCCCAAGTCCTATTGGAAGGGAAACAACTTTGGGGGGATCCCCTAGCTGCACCCTGGCCCCAGTAGGCCACTCCATGGAGGACACCAGAGAGAGATTTTGGCCTGAATCCACCAGGAGCTGTGCTGCCGGCTTCCTTGGCTTCCCCACCCACCCCCCATCCCTGCATGCTTGGGATCCACAGAGGCTGAGCAGCCCCTGCGCAGTGGGTGGGCGCCAGGGCAGAAGGGCAGGTCCTGAAACAACCTCTGGCCATGAGGCCCCGCCAGGCACTGGTTAGTCACCTGGTGTGGAGAGAGCCTGGGCTGGGGTTGTGTGGCCGGGCCACGCCCACTTTTCCCCCAGAGGCTGCGGGACCAGCTGAGACTGGGGTGTCTCTGAGCCTCTGACCCCAACATGGAGCAATTTCTGACCAACTGCGCATTGAGCTGCTGGAGGCCATGAGCCTGCGGAGGTCCTGGGGTGGGGTGCAGGACACGGATCCGGGCCGGTACCCCGTCCAGCCCCACCCACCTCATCAGGGGGCGGAGCCAGTTCTCCTCCACGTACGCCGTCTCGTAGATGAGGCTCCATTCGTCCTTGATCCACGAGCACAGGTTCAAGGGGTTGAAAAAGAACCCAAGGAACTGAGGGAGGAGCAGGAGCCCTCAGGGCAGAACCTGGGGCAGACCCCTCACCTGGGGAAGCCCCCAGTGCCTGCTGAAGGGAGAGTCAGGGCAGAGGGGGCACGCGGGGGGGCACAGTGGCACTGCAGGTGCTGAGAAGAGACCACACCCCTTAGGACATCCCTCCCTCCTTGTAGAGTCCCGGTGTAGGGTCCTGGGGTGGGAAAGGGTTCCACCTTGCTCACCTGCCCAGGCCCAATGGGAATATGTCCTTGCCCGTGGGGGCCTCTGTGTCCAGCCAGCTCCCGCGGACCTGGCAGGCCCCATACCCACTTCAGGGTAAGTTGATGGTGGGGACACATGGACAGCTTCCTGCCTCCCCAACCCTGGCTCTGGAATTCTGAGAATGAAATTTGTGCCACTTTCTGCAGTTCACCCTCTGGCCTTACTCAGGGCATTTCCAGCACTGGGACTGAGGCAGTTTTCCCAGGCCAGGGCCTGGCATGGTGCCCAGATGGGCAGGCCCTGATGTGCCCTTGGGATGGCCCAGACCTGGCTTTGGCAAAGCCTTGGGGTTCTAAAGGCCTTTCCCAGCTCCTGGCGCCCTGTCTAACAGATTTAGCTCCAGAAGACACAAGACCCATTTAGCTTCCTAAAAGGAGCCCAGCCACGCTGGGGAGCTGGAAGATGCACTTCCATAAGACGGGGCTGTCATCAGCCCTTGGAGGTGACCCTCTGTGCAGTGGGGCAAAAGCTCAGGCCCCCAGCTTTTGCCTGGGGGGGAGCTGAGCCTAGGACCCTGGGTGGGCTGCTCTGTGGAGGGTGTCTGGGAAGCTGGAGACACACCCCCAGCTTGGAGGGCTTGTCCAGTCAGCTCCCCAAAAACCAGCTAGAAGGGGAGGCAAGGGTCCTAGGGCTGCTTCAGGTTCCAGCATCACATGTGAGGTCACCAGGAGAGCCCCAAGGGGCAGTCTCAGAAGCACACCCTGAGCAGAGGCCATGGGAGCAGGGGGTTCACTGGGAGATGGTCCGGGAAGCATCAAGCTGAGCGAGCGGTGGGCTGGGGGGCCAGCCGGGCCTGTGGTCTCTGCTGTGCCTTCCCAGGTGACACACCCAGCAGCCTCCCCTCAGGCCGCCAAACCTTTCCCCATGCAGAGGCAACCAGGGGCTCTTCTAGAGCCTCCCGAAGCTTCCCCATTTGGCGGCCCACCTACCTGGGCCTTCTATGCCTGCAGAGGTTTTCTCAGCCCCTTGCATGGCCACTGTCCTATCACTCCCTCCCTACTTCATCTTCATCTTTTCGGCTCACCACTACTCCCTGCCCGAGGGGGCAGCTGGCCCCCAGGCGGGGCACTGGAGGCCTTGCTCCCTTCTTCCTGGCCCACCCCCATGAGGGCAGGTCCCTTTTCTGCTTTCCCAGGTCCCCTGGGACTCAGTGCTGCTGCCCTCCCTGCATCCCCAGCCCTACCCAGCCCTCCATCCCCAAGCCCCCGTCCTCACATTCAGCACCTCAGCTGGGCTGCTGCCCTACTGGGATACAGGCTGCCCACCCCTGCACAGATAGGGCTGTCTGGAATGAGGCCCCTGTTCTCACTGGGGTGCCATGGGGCAGCCCTACCAAGGACCCTGCTGGAGTGGGGGTGGGGTTCCATCGTGGGCCTGAAAAAGCCCTCTGGCCATCTGATGCATTCTGTGGAGCCAGCAGGACCGGCCGCCCCTCCAGGTGCTGTCTCAAGGCCACTCTTCCCAGGGTAACCAGCAGCATCTCCCATGGAGGCCACAGGCTGACGACCCCAAGAACCAGCTCGGGAACACACTGCACTCACTGCCACATCACTCCTGACCACAATGGTGATAGCACCCAAGGTGTGGCCACAGGGTGGACATCCTGTCCCCAGCAGCTTGCTGCCCCTCTTCAAGGTCCAGGCTGGCCTCCTCCTGGAGCACTGAGGTAGGTGGAGGGACCCTAATGGGACCAGTACTGCCCAGTGAGGCACAGGGTGTGGAGCTGAGGAGGGAACTCCCTACAGGACCGACACCTCAGCCCTACAGCTTTGAGGTTCCCTTGAAGATCTGTGTGGGCTATTTCCACAAATCTCCTTCCAGAAGCTTTCTCGGATAGTAACTGCCCAGGCACCTGCACTGGGGGCGCTGCTGGCCCTGGGTACTCTGTCCTGGGCTGGTGCTTTGGGGCTCTGTGGGCCAAGGTTGGTCCAGGGCCAGTTCCACCACTGTGGGGCCCAATACAAGATGAAACATGGGTCCTTGTTCAACAATTATTAAGAATTTCAAGATGGTGAGAGCAGAGCATAAACCAAGTCCAGGCCCTTCTGACCTTGGGGAAGCTGAACCTGGGTCAGTCTCAAAGTGTCTTTCATAAAATGCCATCAGTTTTGCTTCTTTTTCATAAAAACGAAGTCCTTGCATAAGATAACTAAACAAATATATATCTGTCATGAATTACCTATGTTTGGATGTAGGTAGGAAAACTTGTCATTGAAAAATAAAATGCTGGCTTGGGTCAGCACCTTCTCTTGTTTCATCTGTTAGGTGGCCGAGGTGCCATGTGGGACGCCAGTCCTAGGTCTCTGGGGCTGTGACCCCCGTGGGCTCTGCTGCTGCTCCAGGTCCCCACTTCTCCAGAAAGGCCCCGAAGTACTCCTGGGCCCAAGGTCTTCCTGTTCTCTTATCCAGGGAATAGCTCTTCCAGGTTGGCAACTGCCCCTCCAAGCACAGTGAGAAGTAGCAAGCAGTGGCCAAGAGCCTAGTCCAAGAATTGGCTGTGCTACTCACTTGCTGTGTGACCTTGGGCAAGTTACTTAACCTCTCTGTGGCCCAGTTTCCTCAACTGTGGGATGAGTACCATGTAGGAGCGACCTCACTGGGTCGTTGTGAGGGTGAAGCAAGAACAAGCGCTGTGCGCTCGCAGAGGAAGCCTGGCCCACAGCAAACACTCAGCAAGCGCTTGGCCAGCGAAGTGCAGCAGGCTGCAGGCTCAGACGTTCTGGTCCTGTGGCCTGAGGCCTAGGCGTCCCAGCTTTCTATAGGAAGCTCCCAGGCAGGCAGTGGCATGGGCTCTTGCAGGGTTCCCCTCAGCCCCCCTGAAGCTGCACAGCTACCCCTGCCCTGCCTGGGATGGAGGAGAGGCTATTCTGAGCCTGGAGTTTGGACACGAGTAATAAGAGGGAATCGAATTTCCCCAGGGCAAAAGGGAGCATATCCACCTTGATCAGGGTGTCAGTTGGTCAGTGGGTTTTTTTTTTGGTCTTGCTATGTTGCCCAGGCTGGCCTCGAACTCCTGGGCTTAAGCGATTCTCCCGCCTCAGTCTCCCCAGTAGCTGGACTGTAGGTGTCATGACACTGGGCTTGTTAATTGGCTTTAAACAAAGAATAAACCCACCAGAGTTTCTTTCTTAAAATCAACCAGAAAGGTGAAAGGTCGGAGCTGACGAGACAGACCTTTGAGTTGCTCACCTTGCACACCTTGATGGCGGGCTGGGACTTGACGATGCTACAGAAGAGCTGGAAGCCGAGCTCCTCCAGCTGGAATGTGGCCAGGTAGCAGATGACTAAGGAAACAGGGAGGGCTGAGCATGGGGCAAGAAGGGCACCATCCTGACCCCAGAGGGGATGCCCAGCGTTTGATCTGGGGTGGGGTCTGCCAGAGGCTAAGGGACATCACAGGTGCACCTCAGGGGTAACAGAACCGGAGCCCAAGGCCTCCACCACCATGGGGAGCACGGCCATAGACAAAATGATAACCTAACACAAACGACACAAACACCACTGTCTTATACACGCCGGGCATTTGTGGTTTTCAAAGCACTTCCACAGTATTATAATATCTCATTCGGTAAGTTCTCAGAGCATACAAAGTTTCTCTGGGTAAAAATGAAATAGTTTTGGATTTGTTAATTCTGAGAGGCTGAACTACCTCAAGTCAACTAGAACTTGAATGCGCCTGGGCCCAGAGGTTCCTCTGAGGCAGGGCCTGTTTGTAACACCCCCACTTTACAGATGCTGCTGACCTTGAAGCCCTGGCCGGGCAGTGAGGGGGTCGGGGCAGGAGCCCAGCTTAGCCTCCCAGGACACTGTACCCCTCACCTCCTCCCTGTTCCTCCTGGACAGGGTCAGCATGGCCAAGTGTAGGGTCCTAGGGCTGGACCAACTCCCCCTGGCAGTGGCACTAGCCAGCACTCTGCCGACAATGGGCACTCTGCCGACAATGGCCACCCTGCCTCAGACAGCCATCAGAGGCTGTGGGAAGCCCAGGCAGAGATGGCTCTCATATTTAACCCTCCGCAGGATGGACCAGACTGTGGCCATAGGGCCCGTCCTGCCCAATGGTCTTGGGGTCGTGAACCCAGCCTAAGGAAGGCTCCCCATTTTGCTTAGGCAGGCCTTCTGGGGGCATTCTCTCTCCACCTGGCCATGTGTACTCAGGGGCCAGAGGCTGTGGTCAGGGGCAGCAGGGCTGAGGTCTGTCTGCCTCAAGCCTGGCCTCCGGTGAGCCTGAGGTATTGGGGACAACACAATGGCCCTGGTCCACCTGCTCACGGGGCAGCATGAGGATTGAGCAAGGTAAGGGGCCGCAGAGAGGCAAGGAGCCGGCCTTCTGCACAGGCCTAGACAGTGCCCGCCCGCCAGTTCCTTGTTAGGCCGTTTCTGGCTGCAGCTGACCGCCTGCGGCTCTCTCGTTCAGGAGGTGAGGGCGCAGGCACCTACCCTGGAAGAGGCTGTAGTCAGCCCACAGGCAGAGTCGGCCATCCCACACGTAGAAGGCGTCCACCACGATGGTCAGCAACTTCCGGTACTCAAGGCACCCAGACAGAACCTCCAAAACGAACGCCTGCTTCTGGGGGCTCAGGGCCTGGAACAGAGACAGCAGGGAGGGGCACTGCTGGGCCGGGCGGAGGAGGCCGCTCCAGATGAGGGTGCTCAGGCCTCAGGGTGACGGTGGAACACGGCACCAAGGCAAGTCGGGGACAGGCGCCCCCACGGGTCTGGAGGAAGTCAGCGGGACCCTCCCTGGGCAGCTGGCAGTGCCCACTGAGATCAGGAACTTGGGACCCCCAGAGACTGGTCCCACAGGGTCTCCTGGGCTAGCGACAGCTACGGCAAGGTGGGTGCACAGACAGAAATAAACATGGAAAATGATGAGAAAATTTAAAAAAGACACAAAATAATAAATATTGTGATTCCCCTTATACCTGAAAAGGCAAATTCACAGAGACAGAGAGTAGAATGGTGGGTGCCAGGGGCTGGGGGAAGGGATGAGATTTAGTGTTTAAGGGTGACAGAGCTTTAGTTTACGAAGAGAAAAATGTTCTGGAGATGGATGGTGGTGATGGTTGCATGACAATGTGAATGTGCTTAAACCCACAGAACTGTACACTTAAAATGGCTAAAATGGTATATTTTCCATCATGTGTGTTTTACCACAATAATTTTTAAAAGTGAGCTCATATAAAGGTTTTCAAATGAATGAATAAAAAATAACCAAAAGGCCAGGCATGGTGGCTCACACCTATAATTCAGCACTTTGGAAGGCCGAAGCTGAGGATCGCTTGAGGCCAGAGGTTGGAGGCTGCAGTGAGCTATGATGACACCACTGTACTCTAGCTGGCGCAACAGAGCGAGACTCTATCTCCAAAAACAAAAACAAAAACAATAACAGCAACAAAACCCAAAAAGAACAACATATGAACAAGGAATGTCTCTGCAAGAGCTTGTCAAGCATAAAAGCAAGACAGGTGAGTGTTACAGGGCAACGGTGAAGATTACGTCCTTTCTGGGGACGGAACAGTGTTGGAGGGAACTGACTTCCCAATTTACACCTCGGATCACCTGGGGCTCGTAACCTGTGTGTGACTTGTTTGTGTATTCGCAAAAGTAACCTAGTTTTTGAAAAGAAGAAAGAGAATAAGAACATCTAGTGTCACCAGCATGGCAACAAGAAAGGCTGGGGCGATGGATGCTATGGGGTCTTTCCCAAGAGCAATCTGGAAGCATGTTTCAAGAACCTTGTTTTCCGTACCCTTTAATACCAGTAATTACACTTCTGGAAATCTAAGGAAACCATTCAGAATGCAGAAGATAGCCACATAGAAGTAGTTCAGGGCAATGGTGTGTGCAGTTGTGAAAATGGGAAAACCTAAATGTCCAACACTTATGTTGGATCAGACATAATCTCTCCGTGCTGTGGACAAGTATAATGCATTAAAATGATGCTCCTGGAAAACTTCCGAGGGGCCAAAATAGTCAATGCAGCATAAAAGGAAAATGTAGACCATGATACCAACAGATGCAAAACTCGTACGGAGAGAGGGAAATGCAGACACTATTAACAGCATGTGGCTTTGCCTCTCTGTTCTGCTTATTTCTCTACATACATCTTCTCCTGCAACTGGCATGTGCCACTTCTATAATGATTTAAAAACTAATGGGTTTTGGCCGGGCGCGGTGGCTCACACCTGTAATCCTAGCTCTCTGGGAGGCCGAGGCGGACGGATTGTTTGAGCTCAGGAGTTCGAAACCAGCCTGAGCAAGAGCGAGACCCCGTCTCTACTAAAAATAGAAAGAAATTAATTGGACAACTAAAAATATATAGAAAAAATTAGCCAGGCATGGTGGTGCATGCCTGTAGTCCCAGCTACTCGGGAGGCTGAGGCAGGAGGATCGCTTGAGCCCAGGAGTTTGAGGTTGCTGTGAGCTAGGCTGACGCCACGGCACTCTAGCCTGGTCAAAAGAGTGAGACTCTGTCTCAAAAAAAAAAAAAAAAAAAATTAATGGGTTTTTCCTTCAGCCAGTAACTCCCTGTTAAAAGATTCTGGAGGTGCCAGACTACTTTCCCAAAAGCCTGTACCCAAGGACACTCAGAGCAGCCAGTGTGTGGGTGCGCTGCTGACCTCACCAGTAGTGTCATTTCAAACTTTTTATTTTGTTAATCTAATAAAGAAACATTGGTATCTCATTGCTTTATTTAAAATTTTTAATGTAGTAGTGAAATTTTCATATGTTTACTGGATACTGTTTCTTCTGTGAATTATCAATTTACATACTTGACTAACTTTTTTTAGTGGGATAACATCTTAATCAGTTTTATAAACTCTCTCTATATTAAGGCTATTAAAACAGTTATTAATGGGATAGTTATTTGTTTTGAGTTTCTAATTTGCCTTTTAAATTTGTGTAGAATATTTTTGGCATATAGATCATCTAGAAATTTTACTTTTTATTTGAGGTCAAATCTATCTTTTCCTTTGTGATTTTTTCAGTTGTTTTTATGCTAAGAAAACGACAGGGTAATGAGATAACTTGAGGGATCCTGGACAAGCCACACGACCTCTTGGAGCCTCAGTTTCCAAACATGTGCATGAGAATATTCTGGATATTGCTCTGGCAGGCAGTGTTGTTCCCATTCCCTTCTGGTGTCACCCCTGCAGTGTGGGGCTGGGAGCCTGAGAACTACATTCCGCAGTCAGCTCTGCCTCTGGAGTCCTGGGTGCAGCGTGGGTCCTGCTAACAAGATGCACTCACAGGAGAGATAGAAGGTGCAAGGGCGGTGGACACACCTTTTCCTCCCTCCCCAGAGGTGATAGATGCTAGGCTTCCCAGATGAGCACGCTGCTCACTCCCTGTCTCTCCCCACCCTGGGGTGGCAGGGAGCTATACCAGCGCGCCCTGCAGTGCCCCAACTCGCTGGGGCTGCCTGACATTAATTCCTCCAGCCCTCCCGATGGCTTGAAGCACAAGAATCCTTGTATTAAATCCCTTTCTCCTGGAAGTGTCTGGACTGGCAGTAATATTCTCCCGCTGACAACCCTTTGTTCTGGGGCCCCCTGTGGACTCCTTCTCCTCAACTCCTACATATTGGAGGGTCTCAGGCCTCAGTTCACCCACCTTGTTTCTTCACCATACACACATACTGTCTGGGAGATCTCATCCAGCTGCGAGGCTGAAAATACGTTGATTCCCAAACGTACGCCTGGCCGGCATCTCTCCCTGAACTCCAGAAACCTCCATCCTGCTGCCTGGCCGCCCCCGGACTTGGATGTCTGGCAGACGCCTCACATTAACGCATCTGACTGACCCTCTTGGGCTTGGCTCAAATCCGCCCCCCAACCCTCCCAGCTCAGACGGAACCCCTTTACGACTCGCTCCACATCCAATTGGCTTCTCCTCTGCCTGCTAATCAGTCTGTTCCAACCCAGCAGTCAGAGCAATTCTTTTAAGATGGAAGTCAGATCATGTCTGTCCTCCTTCAGAACCTTTCAGAAGAAGAGTTCCTATGATGGCCAGTGAGGCCCTGTGTGGACTGGCTCAACTCCCTCTGAGTCCTCCCCCACTTTCCAGTCACCCTGGCCTCCTGTTTGTCCACCGCGCAGGACATCCCCTCCAGGAACTGGCTGTTCCCTCTGCCTGCCATGCTCTTCCTGGCACACTTGCTCCTCCGCTGCCACTGAAGGCATCCCTGAGAGCCCCTCATGCCATGGCCTGTCCCAGAAGCACAAAACTGCTTGTTTTGTCCCTTTACCTGCTAGAAGGTCACCTGGATGCTTGCCAGGGAGGTAATGGAATGACCTGCCTCCACAGGGGGTTGAGGGGACCCAGTGACCTCTGTGAGTGCAGACCTGGCACAGAGAGGGGCTTGGCGGTGAGGGCTACTCCCCCTGGAGCAGCGGCTGTGCCTGGCACCCCAGGAGGGGCTCCTGTTCAGGGCCGGCTCTGTTTTCTTCTCAGGTTCCTCAGGCTGCCAGGCTGTACCCACGCCAGAGGGCACCGGCCCTACCCAGGCATCAGTCCCCCCTTTTAACTTTCTGCATTTGACAAAGGAAGCCCACGGCAGACGAGTCAGAGAGCAGTGATTCAGCACGGCTGGCTCTGAAGGATGCCCTGAGTCAGCTGGGCCAGAGGCGAGGGCTGATGACTTTGCAGGACATTGCCGACAACCTCCTCTGGCTGCCCTGGCTTGGACAACAGCAACTGCACTTCTCATCAGTTGCGTGGTGTTTGGGAAGTGTGGGCATGCATTTTTAATAAGGTCAGAGCCTCGAGCCCTGATGTCATCAGGCCCCAGGCAAGGCCGGGTGGGCAGGGCTGTGCTGGGCCGGAGGAATCTGGAAGATGCAGGGCCAAGTGGGAAGCCAGTAAATGACACCCTGGTCTATGAGCCAGCCGGGCCCAGGGCCAGGTCCTCACCACTAATGCTGGACTGGCAGCCGCCAGGATGTGCAGGTGTCCACCCTGTTCATAGAGAGGGACTGAGGCCTGGGGGTGGTGGGCGAGGCTGACACAGAGATCAGAGGGAACCAAGCACTGAGCCCTAGACCAGACAGCAGAGGGTGCTGGGTCTAGGCTGGGTGGTCTCTCCCTCCCTGAGGAGGTACCATGTGGCCCTCGATATGCAGCTGGCTCCTAATTCTGAGCCAGCCTCGGTCACTGTGGTTGCCCAAAGGTCTTTGAGTTTGTGATAAAGTCTTGGGCCTTAGCCAAGTTCAGGGCTCCTGAGTCCCCACCCAGGGACCTCGCCTAGCCCCCAGGGAGAGCAGCAAGCATTCTGATAGTGAAGATTCCAGCTCTCCTAAGAGTCACTCAGCATTCCCAGAACTGGGCTTGTCTCCTGGAATCACAGGGTTAGGGCGGAGCTAGACCAGGGTAGAGGGCACGAGGGGCCTAGGGGCTGATTAACCATAACACAGGATTTGTAATTCATGTCACCAATACCCGTTAATCAGCGAAGCAAAGACTGAAATCAGAAAAATAGGCAAAGGAAATTGAGGCTGCTGGATGTCCACACAATATCCCTTCTCCTCTTCTTCCTACCTAACAGGAAGAATGCTGTCCTGTTGGGGATGGGAACATACCAAGCTAAAACCACATTTTCCAAATCCCCTTGCTGATAGAGCCATGTAACAATAATTGATGAGATGTAATGGCAAATTGCTAGGTGTGGCCTCCAAGAAGCACCTTGAAAGGAAAGCAGATTCAGCTGGCACATACCTTGTAGTGTTTGCCTTTCCCCTCTCCACACCTGGGATGTGGATGCAAAGCTGGAGGTGGGACAGCCATTTCGTGACTATGAGGTAAAGTACGTAGTAGGGATGGCTGAGTGGAGAGGAAGGGGAATGAGTTCCTAATGGCACCAAGGGGCTGTGGAACCCACTTTGGACTGCCTGTCTGCAGATTGCTTCTGCCATTGCTTTTCTGGATTCTATAATAGCCAAACACAGTTTCCTAACAGACAAAGGTCCAAGCACAGGGTTCAAAAAAGAAATACATATTGCTTCAAAACGTATGAAAATATAACAAGAGAAATGTTGATTATAAACACACAAATCTCCTTTTTCACACCTATTTGATTGGCAAAGATAAAAAACGTTTGCCCACCCTGTCTCTGCTAAAAATAGAAAGAAATTAATTGGACAACTAAAAATATATAGAAAAAATTAGCCGGGCATGGTGGCGCATGCCTGTAGTCCCAGCTACTCGGGAGGCTGAGGCAGGAGGATCGCTTGAGCCCAGGAGTCTGAGGTTGCTGTGAACTAGGCTAACGCCATGGCACTCTAGCCCGGGCAAAAGAGTGAGATTCTGTTTCAAAAAAAAAAAAAAAAAAAATGTTTGCCCACACACTTCGCAAGGGCGTAGGGGAACAGGGACTCCCTACCTGCTGGGGAGGCACAAAAATTAGATCTCTGTGGAGAGTCAATTGACAATACCTATTGACATCACAGGGGCCAATACTCTCACAAGAGTCTGTGCTTTCTGGGACTTGCCCAGGTGCAGAGGGACACATGGGCCAGTCATCCCCAGTGGTTTGTAACAGACCTTGTCTCCAGATCCTTAACTTAATTACATCTGCACAGACCATATTTCCAAATAAGGTCACATTCTCAGGTACCCAGGGGTTAGGACTTCAACATATCTTTGGGAGGACACAGTTTAACCGCCAACACTGCCCTTCACTTCAGCCTGTGCTCTGGACTCTCAGCCTGCTGGTTTATGTGTTGTGTAATTTTGTGGCATGTGGTAGTCTCGAGCCTTGAGGCCTAACAAAATCTGTGAAGTACAGTGATTTTTTGACAGCTGGAGAAAAAAGTGAGTTGTCCAAACTGGGTCAGTGTCCAGTGCAGCATTCCACTTTGAGGTATGAAGGACTTTGAAACGATCTGAAAGGACCAGTGCATCTGAAGGGCAAGTGGCTTCCCACCTGACATGGCTGACCTCGCCGACCTCACAGCTGGCCTGGTGCCCCAGATGTATCAGGTCTGTCTGCTGCTGCCAGGTTGCAGCTGCAATGGGGCTGCTGGGCTCGCTGTGGAAACGCACATGCGTGGCCATCACACGGTAACTCACCAGGTAACAACCAGGTCTCACTCACTATTATAGTTGATTGTAAAAATAATAAAAACCTCAAAATAAACGCAAACTATTTGTCGCAACAAATTCATTTTTCTGTAATGGTCATTGTCAAGAAATAAGACATTTTACCATTTTTCACCTGAGGAAGGGGCCCCCTTTCCTTGCCAAGGTGCTGTATGGGCTGAGCAGACCAGGGGAGCATCAGGGGGAAAGTGCTCCAGGTGGAGGGAACAGCAAGTGTGGGGGTGGGGGAGAACACTCCTCCAAAATGTTCCAGAAACAATAGGAGACTGGTGTGGCTGGAACAGAGTGGACATGGAAGGGACAGGCAGAGTTGAAGGTAGAGTTGATGATGGACAGATGTGGGCTAGAGAAATGGGGGGCCCAGGAAGGCTTCAGGGTCCCCCTGAGCAAGGAGAGCTGATGATGGCCGCGCTGGGGCTGTGAGAGGAGCAGCTTGGCAGGGGTGGAAGGGGGTCACACCAGAGGTGCCTGTGGGACATCCTGGTGAGAGGCTAAGTCTGCCTCCTCGGGAGAGAGGCCAGGGCTGGAGGGAGGAGTTGGGACCACGCTGTGTCGAGGTGCGGGAGGGCTTTCCGCTGGGGAAGAGGACGAGTGTGGATGGGCCTGGCCTTCAGCTGTTTTCATTATTTCCCCAAAATGCTTAGGGTCTCAAGGAAAGATCTGGGGGCCAGAGGGGTTCTGAGTTGGGAGTAGGGAGGTGCAACCACCAGAGGGCTCTTAATTCTGCAGACAGTGCAGGACCACAGTGGGACGTCACATCCCCTGAGTTCCAGCCAATGCATCTGTTCACTAGAGTCTGGTCTGACACGTTCTGGGTGCCAGGAGCACCTCCCAAGACAAAGAGGGGGTCTCTGTGGAAAACACTGTCAGCCACCATTGGGACTTGGCATCTTGTCCCAGGCCTCAAGGAAGGCAGTTGCTAGGAATGAACTTGATGCTGTTTCCTGGAAAGTGAACAGCTAGGTGCAAGTGGCATCGACTCGGCCTCCCGGGAGCTCCCAAGCAGACACCCTGGCCCTACCTGCAGGGAGCTGGATGCAGCTTCCAGGAACTGTTCAGGACTGTCCTTCTCAGGTTTGAATTTGTCCAGTTGCTCAATCACCATTTCAACACATTTCCCGTAGTAGGCCATCTTCCCAGGGCAGGACCCTAAAGGTAAACCATTACAGGTCACACACTCTACAACCTCTGGGCTGCCAGCTTCGCTGGTGGCAGAAGTGGCCACAGGACCCTCACCAACAGGAAGTCCACCAGGGTGTCAGGACCTCGAGCAGTGAGGACTGTTGGATGTAAGTGGGGACCTGGCTCAGGTAACCCGAGGCCCACTTCCTGGACTGTCCCTCATGGGCCTTTGCTGTCCAAGAGGCCCAGGCTGGCCTTGGTGAGTCCACCCTCAGGTCCCCCACTCACCCACAGCCCTGGCCCTCTCTGCCCTGTGCCCCACGGTTCCTAGGCTACCATATGCCCCCCAGTCCCATGGCCATGATGCATGGATGGGGTGATGCCAGGGAGAAGCCCAGGTCAGAGAACAGAGGCACCTTGTGAGCTGGCTTCTGAGTGTCCCTCAGCTTAGCTGGGAAGGGTGACTGTTCACCCCTGAGGGGTGGCAGGCTCTGGGTGAGGGTGACCCAAACACAAATGGTTGGAACAAGAAGGGTCCTGGGGCCCCCAGGTTCAACATCTCCATTTCAAAGATGAGGGAACTAAGACCCAGAGAACATGAGCAAGTGGCAGGCAGCCAGGACTCGCAGGGGCACTGAACATTCTGGATTGCGCCAGCTCGGGGAGACTGGCTTGCCCAGAGCCCCTCCCTGGGAGACCTTGGAGAAGCTGCTTGGGGTGAGGCTGTGACCCCTGGAATCGGCTCTAATGACAACAAGTGGCCCCAAACTGTCCTCAGAGGAGGATGGAGCTTGTCAGCAAAATTTCTCATCCTCTGACACCATGTGTAGGTTTGGGGTCTGGTCGGACCGCTTAGGACGGTGAGCAGTAGCCACGGGCTCCCTTCCATCCCTCTCTCTTTCTGTGATTGAGCAGCTTCTCTGGGCCAGCCAGGTTTGAGGGCCACCCTGCTGCTGGCCTTCCTGGGCACCAGCAACTGGCAAAGCGGGGCTGCTGATACCCTGAGGACAGCGGGGGCACCTTTCCTCCAACCCCCAGCAAGCTGGAACAGCTGCAGATAGCAGCCCCAGACTTGGACCCTCCAGGTTAGAGACTGACTGAAACAAACAAACAAACAAACAAACCTACACACATCGACATTGGAGAGTCCTTGGGGAGATGGCCAATCTTGGCCAATGCTCCGTTGGCAGACCCCTTCCCCCAGGCCCCTGTCATCGCTTAAAAGGAGGGGAGGCAGGATGTCACCAGACACTTCAAAGATGCCTCTGACATGAAACACAGAAACAAAGAAACCAGCAAGAAAAGGAGCCAGGAGAAAACACAAAATGCACAAAGCAGGAAAAAGCCTAGAGACAAGCAACTGTACCATCCTCGGAGAGAGATCCGGCACCCAAGAAACAAGAAACAAGTAACAATTGGAGAAAAAGAAAGGGCTCTTGGAAATTAAATTATGACAGCAAAACTAAAAACACAAATATAAGAGACGGAAGATAAAAGCTGTGGAAATCTCCTAGAGGAGAAAAAGATGAAGCTATAGAAAGGAAGAGAAAAACACTAATAAAATTAGGGCACCATTCCAAAAGGTTCACATCCCAAATAACAGGAGTTTCAGAAAAGACAGAAGAGAACAGTAAAATGAGAAAATGCCCCAGAATTGAAGGATGTGGTTATCCAGATGGACAGGCCCCCTGAGCTCAGCACAATGAACGAATCATGAAATTTCAGAGCTGGGGATGCCTCTGAACACTTCTAGTGTGGGAGTCAGGGGTGCAGAGCAGCCTCGGTCTTGGGGCAACTGAGGAGCCAGAGAAACACCTGCCAGCTCTTGGGGGACCCACCACCATCCCAGAGGCCCCGTGCCATCCTCTGGGAGTGAGCCCAGGGAGGGGAAGATGTGGGTCTGGGAAACAGGGGCTGAACCCCACAAAGCATCTCCTGGGGGATTTCTGGGAAGGTGATGCAATCCCAGGGGCCAGTGGGTGACAGGACAGGGCAGGGGCTCCAGGGAGTTGTCTCCAAGAGGAGCCACATCTGGCACGTCCCCTGAGTGCTAGGGAAAGAGGCTGAGACGCCTGTCCTGGCCAGGGACAATGGGAAGGGAGCCTCTGCAGCTGCCACATCAGAGCCTGGCCCTGGCTATGCATGACGCCAAAGCCAACAGGAGCCTCTGTCTAGTAAGGCCAGAAGAGGCGCGGTGGCTAACTGTGGGAGATCAAGGCCAGAGGATTGCTTGAGCTCAGAGTTTGAGACCGGCCTGAACAAGAGTGAGACCCGGTCTCTACAAAAAATAGAAATATTAGCCAGGTGTGGTGGCGCACATCTGTAGTCACAGCTGCTCGCTTGAGCTCGGGAGTTTGAGGCTGCAGTGAGCTACGATGACTGATAACACCACTGCCCTCTAGCCAGGGCGAGGGAACGAGACCCTGTCTCAAAAAAAAACCCATCACCACCCCCGAAAAAACCCAGAAAAGGCCAGAAGAAAGGCCTCTTACAATCTGGAAATCTGCTGGAACTGGCTAGAAGCCCTGGTGCTAAGGACAGGCCCTGGAGACCAAGCCGCAGAAAACGAAGTGAACGTGGCCATTGGTACTGAGCAAGCTCACCACAGGTGCAACCAGGACACGGTCACTGCCCCAGAGGCTACCTTGAGCCCCAGCTTGGCCTGCCATGATGGCAGACACCCTGTCCCTTCCCCCAACGTCTGGGTGCTGATGAAGCAAAGGAGGGACAGTGCCCGGATGGTGCCACATTAAAAGCCATTAACCATGCAAATCCACAGATGCCGAGATGTGCACTCTAGCCAAGCTTGGCCCTGGACAAGACCAGAGAGGTTTGCATGGGAGGCCGCCCCATACCTTGCCTGGCTCCCTCCGCCCCCACACAGCCTACCTCTCTGGAGAACTTCCACCTGGAGGTCACCCCCTACCACCCATCCTCTCACTGTCCTCTGATCGCTGGGATCACTCTAGCTGTCTTCTGGGGTGCTGGGACTTTAACGGCTATGAGCAGAAATCCTCAGGAGACTCGGCCAGCACCTGTGGCCACCCAGAGTAGCTCCATTCAGAGCAGGGCCTCAACTTGTGACGGCTTTGCACCAGTTGCTATTTTGGCTGCTCTCTGAATGCAGCACCCTCTCTCTGCGAGGGTCCAGACAGCCAGGCATCTGGCATGACAGGGATGGGTGGGGGGTCTGGTGACTCGGAGTGGGCCCTAGCTTTGGGCCCAGCCAGCCTGGAGATGGGTAGGCCCAGGCAGCTGTGACACAGCAAGGACAGGCAACAGCTAGGCTCCTGGGGGTAGGAAGCACTTTTCTGGGGCACTGCGCAGTGGCGAGGGGGCCTGTGGCTTTCACTGCAGACACTGCTGAGAGCTACGGGGGCTACCTAGCAGGCACAGAGATGGGGGTGAACTCAGCAGCTCATGGACCCTGGTCCCCGTCTTTACCAGGGTCACCCACATTGAGGTGGTTTTTAAGACTTCACAGCTGGGCGAGCGTGGTGGCTCACACCTGTAATCCTAGCACTCTGGGAGGCCGAGGCAGGAGGATCGCTCAAGGTCAGGAGTTCAAGACCAGCCTGAGCAAGAGTGAGATCCTGTCTCTACTGAAAATAGAAAGAAATTAGCTGGACAACTAAAAATATATAGAAAAAATTAGCCGGGCATGGTGGTGCATGCCTGTTGTCCCGGCTACTTGAGAGGCTGAGGCAGAAGGATTGCTTGAGCCCAGGAGTTTGAGGTTGCTGTGAGCTAGGCTGACGCCACGGCACTCTAGCCCAGGCAACAGAGCAAGACTCTGTCTCAAAAATAAAAATAAAAAATAAAAAATAAAAAAAAATAAAACTTCACAGCTGTCCAAGTGGATTATGTGGGTAGAAAAAAAAACCAAAAAAATTTTCATAGCATAACCGGGGCCTCTGAGTGCAGTGGGGGGCGGTGGCCTGCCACCCTCTTGGAGTATGCATGCCGTGGCACGGGCCCTGGCACTGAGGAGACAGCATTACTGATGGTGAGTGGGAGTATGAATGCACTCACTGAGTGGGTTCTTCCGGATTTTGCCCTCAGGAGTGGTACAGGGCCATCTTCAGAGCAGGGAATGCACCAGTTTTTGCTACAGGAGTGGGCCCTTGTCTGTGGCTCAAGGAGGTGGGGTTGTCCCCATCCTGTGACTCAGGGCGGGGCAGGCGGGGCCTGCAGGAGGTGAGAACTGCCTCAGCAGGTAGGCTGAAGTCCTGGGTCTGCCGAGCAATTGAGGACAAGTGGCTTCGCCTCTCTGTGCCCCAGGGTTCTGCAGGATGGGGAGGAAATGTGGGTGGGGAGGCACAGGGTGGAAGGTGTCCCTTGGGGTTGAGGATAGCAGGAGAAGCCTGTATGCCCAAAGGGATGAGGTGGCAGTTTTGGAGGCCTCAATGAAGGTGAACTGGGTACCAGGGGCCAGGGCCACAGTCCCTCCCTGAGACCGCCATGGCAGGAACCCTGGTGCCTGGTCCCCTGACCAGGTGGGATGGTTTCGACCTGGATCCTGATGCTGCTGCTGCTTGGGAGCTCCTGCCCTTGACCCAGCCCCAGTCCTGTTGGTCCCAACCCACTAACATCCACTGCCCTGCCTCCCCCTTACTTGGGCCCTGGCATCACCAGCCCTTGCATGCTGGCTCCACTCTGGGGGCTCTTTGTTCCACCTCTGCTAGCCAGCTAGCGCCTAAATGGAGAACAATACCAGACACTCCAGGAATCTCCAGGCCAAAGGCAGCACCATGGGCGTGGGGTGGGGGGTCCTAGGCTCTAGGGAGCAGTATTTTCCCAGGGTCCCTGGTCCTAGTTTTCCACCTAGGGCCAAACAGTGCCATTGCTGCAGGCATATAGGGAGCCCTGGAGAGGACACCAGCTCTGGAAGAAGCGCTGGAAAAGATACTCATTTCCATGGTCTGTAGTCTGTGCCCTGGTGAGATCTCCTTCTCGGTCTGGCAAGGATAATGCACCCACCCACCCGTCCCTCCTTCAGAGACAGAGGCT